TGTTATGTGTTTGTATAGAAAAGACGTACACATCAGGAGTATCTTGCTACAGTCTACATTAACGGGCAACATGCGAGAACCAGTCTTTCAACCAGTTTGGAAAGCCGAGCCATAGATTCTAAGCATTTCCCTATTTTATTGTTTTTCACACTACAGAGGAAAATTAATTCCCCATGTAACTCCATTGAAATCTAGTATATTAACTGAGGGACTGCATTTATTTAAGCCTGTACCAATATTTATGAGATGAATTTAGGCCCAGAATGTGTTGGCTGATGGCCCTTTACTGGGGGATGAACCGGATTGCTTTACTGGGAAGACTCCCCAGCCATTGAGGGTGACAGTGGGGAGTGGGGAGGAGGAAAGAGAAGAAAAGGGCAGAACAGAGTGTCGAGACCACAATAATTAATGCTCAGTGAGGCAGAAAAGGAGACAGACTCACAGGACGGCAATTCCAGCATTTTAATTCATATGTTGTGGAGTTTCAAAGTCAAATCAATGGCTTGAGTGCAGCTTTATCTACACAGCTTTATCTACACTTTCAATTATTTAAAAAACAACACAACTAGCATTAAATTGTCCTGCCAGAGTGACAGAAGTCCTGCCATAGACTGCAGTGGAAGCAGAACAATACAGTGGGACAATCTTTTAAACCTTACTCATTTCAGATCTTACAAACACACCTGACTTTGGTGTCACAGCAGCAGAGGCCTGCACAGCCAAGAATAACAGACAGTTCATTTCAATACAGAGATGATGATTTGGGTATATCTGAATGTAATTAGAGATAATAATAGAGTTAGAAATAAGCTGGAAAAGATTACAAAGAAGAAGAGGGAGCATGAAGAGAAAATGCAGTTCCTCTTCACAGAAACCAACACGAGAAAGATGCAGACCCTTCCAATGCTTTGCATATCCTGGAGATGGATTTTCAATTTCCTTTTCCAAGTTATTTAGAAGTTCCTAAAGGCTGAAGAATATACCTCTTGCAAGACACAGATTTCCCACAGTGCTTTAATACAGAGATAAAAAATCAAAGTCCATAGCCTTAAATAACATGGGTCACGATGCACAAAAATGTACGTGCCCGTCGAAACAGTCAGCAAAGTGATCAAGATTCGACAGTGGTTACCTCAGCTTTCTGTAGGGGAAGCAGTTTAGAAGCAATGTGGCAGTCTCACGGAAATTACAACATGGAAATTTCTGCTGAATTCAAGGTCAAAAATTAATAACAGAGTCAGTGTAGGATCAACTGAGCTTCTTTAGTTCAGTTTCAAATATTACTTCTTTGAAAATATTATCAAATTTTAGTTTGTCACATATGTTGGTATTTGCAAACCATAACATCCCTATGTATTCTGTTTACTCACGTGGAAGCTGGAACTCAGAGACTTCTACCTCACCTTTGCAATTAGACTCTGCCACAATTATCTGTCATTTTGTCACCTCCAGAGTGGACCACACAATAATCTAGGGCAAGCAGAGCGGGACCTTTGAGACCACCAGTCTGTGGACTGCAGAGACGTTTTGACCAATGTGCCCATACTCAGGCTCCGCTCACTGCTTTGGATACCTCTTCAGTTCTAGGTGTAATTCATATTTTTAGCAATACACTGTTAAGTCTTTGATAATTTGGAACGCCATTTAAATAGTGTGCCTCCTTCAAATCTGAGTTGTTGCTGTTGGGAGCTTGGTCTTCCAAAACTAACAGCCAAGTATTTTTGGTCTGCACATCAAAACCCGCACTTTTGGGCTCCTTAAGCCAACCCAGCCATTTTCAATGTTATCGTATTTACATATTTGCATTTGCTTCGTTGGTTTGCCCCCTTGTTGCTGGATTGACAGGGCTGGGGTATTCCTAGTTTCTTGCTGGACCTTTACAAAAGGCAGATCAGCTTCCAAGAGTGGAGGTCAGAACGTTCCTGGTTTTACAGGAGTTAAGCACAAACGTGCCAGGGGACTAACGAGCGCTGCAAAACTTTTCCTGTGTTAGCAAGCAGTATAAGCCCACCAACATCAAGCAATATGGTTACACATCAGTACAATCCCCTCCGGCCCAGCCAGACTGGGGTTGAACCCTGAGATGCTGCGTAACAAAGTAAATAGGAAAATGTGCGTGTCTGAAAAGAGAATTATCGCTGTTGGTATAATGACTACTATGCTTCCCTGAAAACGCAACATATTGTGGGACTTTGTTCAGGCACTTCTTTTTCAAGGCACTATTGCCAGCTCCAAATGTTCAAGAGCTACAGTTTGACCCTCAAAATCATAAGCCTGTCTATAAAATGATAAATGTAGAGCTCTGTTACTTTGCTTTCTGTTTTTTGAGCTGTTAGAGTGCACCTGGGTCACATTTGCAAGCTTTATACTCTAACCATTAGGACTAGAAACTTACTTTGAATTAAAGAAGAAGGAAAGCTGAATTTCTAACCTCATTACACAACTCTAGTAGCTGGAGTGTAAGTGAAACATCAAACATCACAAGACTTGTGATAAAATCATGAGTGCTGACAACATCAATTTAGAGTAGGAGGTGGGATAGCAGGGGAAACTCTGGGCAAATGGATTTACTTTTTATCTTAATGTTTTTACAGGCTGTCTACTTTTATCTTTAATCAGAAGTTTTCAGTGGCTGTTCTTTCTTTGTGTATCTGAGCACGACATTAAAAGGTCACTTCTGCATTAGTACCTGATGCCATTTGCTAACCGCATCTTTCTATCAGAGATAACATGAAAAGGTATGTGTACCAACGGTACACCTGGTGCTAATATCACAGCAAAGAGGTATTATGGAAGTACAGGTCATCAGTGCATGGCTGAAATGGTATCGAGAGGGATTCCAAACCCCTGTTGTGTGTGTGAAGAAAACAGCATGTTTCTCACAGCTATGATATTTACTGCCTGATTGAAGAATACTGTATTGCGAATTTACCAGCAAAGCTCCACTTTCTTTTTGAAATGGGTTGTTACAAGGCATTGCTTGCTACATCTTTTACGCCTCAACATTATCTCAATGAAGAATAACATGGAAACTTAAAAATCTACGTATAGTTAAACCTTTTACTAGAATAAATGAGCTGTAATTAAGCCAAATAATTAAAGGATCGCTACAATTATAGATCAACAGGCTTGCTAGATCAAGAATTCAGGTCAGTCTTAAGTAATGCCAAAGTGGCCGCGGAGACAAAGTGGCCACGGTGACAAAGTGGACAGCTGTCCCTCCACTATAAGAGTTAGTTTCCAAGCCATGCTTTTATTGTTTGAAATCCTCCAGTTAGAGGGAATTGTGTACTCACCAGTCCATTCCACTGCATGCAAAGGGTTGCCGTTGGTAGGTTTCCTGGTCACCCGCCTGCTGCCATTGCTCTGGTCTGTCACTGATCTGAAAAATGCCGGGGCTGCACAGTGGGCAGTTAGGAGGCAGCTCCAGCACAATGAATACTCCTGCTCTATCGTGATAATCCTGTGATTTAAAGTAGGAGTTAAGCCTGGTCCAAACGGCCAGTTCACTTCAGCTGCTTCGCACAGCTCCCGTGGCACAAGCAGAGCGTGCAAGTGAATGGCATGGTGGCAAGCCAAAGTTTTTCAAATGATGTAATGCTGATATTATATATCTTCCACTCATTAAACAGGCTCCAGTCCCATCTGGGTGGGACCGAGTACTTCAGTTCATGTTCACAGATGATTCTGTTGCTAATTGGAAAGAGAGATGCAGCCCCCGCGTGAAGCGGGAGGAGGTGCGGAGGGTCTGCGATGTGGCCCTTGCCCTCGCAGCAGTGACACAGCCCCACGTGGTCCCAGCAGGAGCAGACCTGTTTGTCGCGCTGTGTCCCCGAGCCTGAGCTCCGCGCTCAGCGCGAAGGCAGCAGGGCTGTCCAGGCCCTTTACAAGGTGCATTTTTGCCAACCCTTTCAGCCACAGCAGTGGCACTGCCCACGTGCAGCCGTACCTCTGCACTCTGAGCTAGTATCAGCACGAGAAAAGGAGATGAAGGCAGAGGTTAATGTGGGGGAGCATCTCCTTTAAGCCTTCCTCCTCCCCTCCCTGTGTCAGAAGTGTATATTGAACAAGGAGTTTTCCCCAAAGAAATGATCCTAAGCCGGAGTTATGTAAAGAAATCAGAATATTTTAATTATCCCTCAAAAATGTTACAAACTCAGGAAATTCAAGACAAGTATATATGCCCAGTCTTGCAGTACAGAAATGCAGAATTCTGAAGTCCAAATAGCCTCGAGTTATTTGAGCCAAGTATCAAGTGATACACTTGGGGTGTGTGTGTATATATATATCAGGTACTCAAGTATTTGATGTGATACTTAACCATGTGTAAGTCACAAGCATCACAGAATTTTACAGTTCATAGTCTGAATTTAGTAGAAACACAATTTTTAAAGGGAAAAGAGTTTAAAAAATATGTTTTGGTACATTTTTGTTCCGCATATTGCTACAGGAACAGGATTTGACCCTTTTGTTCTCATGCAGGTGATTTTGTGTTTGGTCTAATTCGATAGATTCCATCTTTCTATAAAACTCGACTACAGAGGTCAAAGAAGGAAATGCACTGTCATCTCTGCCTGCTTTCTTGGGGGAGCTTTGAGGTTAGCCTTCTGGATTTAAAATCTTACCACAGAGACAGAAAACAAGATTGGCTAACCACAATGACTTGCCTCAAAAGAATTAAAAACACTGACATAAATAAATAGAAATAAAAAAATCTAGGGCAATAAAACTCCATAGGCATCTCAGAATTCTATTTCAGCCAACATCAATCTTCCTTCTTTTCAGACAGGCTAAATTATACCAGTAAATCAGCACTGTTAGATCAGTCAGACCAGCTGAATGCAAAATCTGAGGGAACAGACCAAATCTGTACTCTGTATATGAATTACTGAGATAAAGGAAAACTGCTCATAAAATTAAATCTTAAATAAACATGAACCCTTAGTAAGAGTACACAGGGAAAGACTACAGTCTAAGACTTCTGAGAGGCCTCTGATTAAATGTACAGTGAGGTGGGAAATGGACTTGGGGAGGCTGCAGCTTATGTGGCCGGAGCACTAAAGGAGCTAAGTCAGACTTACCAAGTGGATGGCAACAAAGCTGCGGTGTGCCGGGACCAGCCACCCAGGAGCAAACCCAGCTGGACGGATTCTGTAGCCGACACCGCTGGCACACCGCTGGCAGAGGCACTCGAGCTTGTTCGAAGCATCTGGATAAAGCGGGCCACTGCAGTGCAGGCACGCCCGGGACTCGTCCTCGCTGCCCTTACAGACTTCCCTGCAGTGGCTGAAGATGCGACGTCCTGCCCTTCTAGTGTGGCAGATGCAAGTGCGTGCTACTTGCTGAGTCACCGATGCGGCTCTTCGACTTCCCTGTTAGTTTAAAGTGATTTCTATTAAAGATACTAGGCGGGGAGCTGCTGAGCTTTGGGAGCAGTCTGGGCTTGCTTCTGCTGATCATACCATCGTTTCAGTGAAAACTGGGTAATGGAAGCTCCGGCAGCTGAGGAGCTGGTACCCATGGAAATGCTAACCACACTGCAGGGTCCTGTATGAAACCCCGTGAGGCTCTGGAGGCTTAGGCATGCTTCTCACCAAGGCCAAGGACCTCTTCTCTTACATCAGCCACATCTCCTCAACGCAGACCCCTACGTTCGCCCTTCTCAAACCACAGGAGACACAGGTTTTGAATGCTCCAATATCAACCTTCCTCAAGCTTGCCACATCTATAGGAAGAGAATGCCTCACTGCTTTGTAGGTACCCTGGAATAACCTTTAATCAAAGCAAACATTAGAGAAACTGTAATAAAAGAATACACGTGCACATATAGACAGCACAACCTAGTAAGAAAATCAGGATTTTCTCCTCCTGTAATGCAGATCAGCTCCAGGAGGCCTGTCGCTCTCATCCAGCGAGCAAGCTGTGAGTGGTTCGTGGCTAGGATCCACCATCCCCATACAATGATTTGGATTGAGGTTTTCTCAAGGGGTGCTCAGAGATGAAAAACTGAACTTCCCTTGTGAGCAGAGCTCACAACAGATCTCCCTCTGCTCTACTATTGAGCAAGGGACCTCTGAACTTGTCTGTGTAAAGCAGCTGAAAAAGAAGGTAGAAAGGGATAAGAAGGACTTGAGATTACCCATCCTTTCCCTTGTGATTTGTTTGATTTCCTTTCACAATATGATACAGCGGAGGTGGAACAGGTCTATTAGATCAGTGAGTGTATCCTACTTGAAGAGCAGGATTAATATCTTCCCACAGCCATCCACAATGCAGAATGCTCAGTTGCCAAAATAATTCTGTGCTGAATAGCAAAATCCACAGGTGGGAAGCAACTCTCAGTGAATTCGCTTTCTGGGGTGCTTAATAACTGCACATACTTGACATCAGCACCATTCTCTCCAACAAACTAAGGCATTTTTTTCCGTGGTGCCCTCTGGTCTGTTGGCCGAAGGGATCAGAATCCTCAGTTCTGTCCCTGCAGGCTGGATCCACGCTACCAACTGGTGGGTTGATCCTTGCCAAGACATTTTTGGAGGAATTATGAAAATCCCTCTTAGAGAGAAGGGAATTCTATGTGGTACTTTGGCAAAACAGGCATTCCTTTTATAAATATACTTTTGCTATTACATCAAGAAAAAGAATTTAGTAGTGAGGGATACAACAGAGAAAATTATTTATGTGTTGACATTTACAATTAAATAGAAAACAGATCTGGCTGAAACGACGTGGGAAAAGAGAAACATGAGAAAATATGTAACTGAGATTACCAACTGGGGGTATAACTTACGACCACTCTAGTGCATTCTTTCCAATGGAAGTACAGTCCCTCATTTTGCGCTACGTTTGGATTGTAATTATGTGTGCCCTTATTTAACAATAAATGCACAAGCTTACTTTGCATTTATCGGCAAATTCTCTTCATTTGACTGATGACCTTGACCATGGCAAAGCAGGGACTCTGCTGCAGTGAAACGCAGGGAACAGGACATGGCTTGCACACAGTCCCTCTGCTTTGGCGTGCTGTAGCACGGGTTAGGGAAGAAAGGAGTGAGTCTGCCATTCACACTCACATGCAGTGACTGGAGGCAATATTATCACCTAAGGAATGATTTTGACCTCGTCTCTTGTATTCACACATACGGTCCTTTTACTCAGGCTGCTCACCGGGGTATGTCCATTACTGCATGTCTTCTGCTTTAGATTTGTGAAGAATATTTTTAGCCAGCATCTTCATTCTTAATATTAATGATTTATCACATATGGTGCACTATATTTTTATAAAGCTGTAAGATACCATGGTGATTAACACCATATGAGAACCTAAATAGAAGGGAACAGGACAGCAGAAATGTCCTCCCAGCAGATACAGGGCTTTTGCTTGTTTTTAGGAAAAGTATCTCAGCTGCATGATTTTATTCTGTACATAAGAATTGTAGGAGTTTCATGGTAGAAGACTGTACTGTACTTGACAATGTTGTAGAGAGAACAAGAATCCTTATGTTTAATTCGTCTCCAGCCTTAATTAGGATTTTCAGATCAATTATGTAAGGAGAGATTGATTATTCTAGCTCTTGTGATCATACATATTTATTACTTTGACTTAAGAAGGCAGGAGAAAAAAAAATGTAAGAACGGCAACTATACCCTTGTGGTTATGTATGTTCATATATATCTCCCCATATTTCTGGTAGGAAAAGATCCCAGCCTCAGACAGCCTTGCCAATCCCTCCTGCCCATATCGCAGTCCACACACCAAATCTACTCGCTGGATCAATGTGGCAGTGAGAAACCAATCGCATGTAACTTCCCCACCCAAACACTGCGAAAGCCTGGAGACACCGCAGGGCTGCGTCAAACGAACGCGCTACTGCCGGGCACACCGCAGGCTGCTCAAGCGTGCCCGCAGCCCTGCTGCTCCAACAGCTCTGTCCTCGCTCACCTGGATTAGGACTCCACGGAGAGCCGCTCCCCGCCGCGTTACCGGATCTGGAGCAAGGACTTGTCTGAAGCGTGGCAGGCCAGCAAAAAGGGGCACAATGTCTCTGCCATATACAAAGCAGCCAGCCTGGGGGCTGCTGGAAGGAGTCAGGGTGAAACCCGTGTGGTACCGAGGGGCTGAAGCTGGAGTTTTGGCTCCTGGGGGACAGGCAGAGGGGCTGTGGGGATGCCAAACAGCTGGCTGCTGCCTGATGCTCCAGGCCTAGGGCTGCAGGCAGTGCCAGGAGGGCTGAAGGAGCGTGGGGAGACGAGCGCTGGCAGCACCCCATGCATCTTCCCCGGGGCAGCGCCGCCGAGGTTAA